CCTCCTCTTCACGATCCTCTGGACTATCTCGGTGTATTCGCTCCTGGAGCACAAGGAGTTCAGGTTTATTCTTCCAATTCTCCCAATGGCCATCTACATCTGCACCTGCACGAAAATTCCAAGGGCGTTGGAACCCTCGAGGAACGTGAAGAAGATCCTAATAGGCATCTTCCTGGTGACCAATCTGATTCCATTATCGTATTTCAGTTTTGTCCACCAGCGGGGGCCTCTCGACGTGATGAGGGTCTTGAGGATCGAATTGGCGAGATACCAGGGTGGGTATCAGGAACTAGGGGTCGACGTGATGTTCCTCACACCCTGTCATGCTCTGCCTTTGTACAGCCATCTGCATAGGAACGTGACCACGAGGTTCCTGGGGTGTGAACCCAATTTCGGAGGTGGCGAAGGCCTCGATGAGACTGAGGAGTTTTTTCAGGATCCTGGGGGGTGGGTACAGCGGGAATTTGGGGGTGGGCGTGGAGGCCAGCTGCCGGCGTTTGTCGTTTTGTTTGATAATATTGAGGAGAGGATAGCAGGGTTCCTCAGGTCCTATAGAATTATTGCTAAGAGGTTTCATGCTCACAGTAGTCAAGGAAACTATGGGAATTATATTCTTGTTTATAGGCATTATTTGGTGGGGAATTGATGGAGTTCTTATTTTATTGGAGAATTCTGCGCGACCTAGGGAAGATGATTTTAAAGTCGTGATCCGGGCGAAATGGAATGCAGGATAAAATGGAATTCGGGTGAAATAGGATGAATCAGGAGGTCCAATGGGAGATGAGGGGAAATAATCGATTATAAGAATCCATTATTCAATTTTTCAGGCTTTTCAGAATTTTATTACATTTAACTGATAAAAAAAACCCATGTTTTATATCCATATATATAGGGGATTCACATTTTGCCCGGCTCTATATAGAAATATATAAGAATAAATAATCATGAATGTATATATAAAATATTGTTAAAATTTGTTTAAATATATAATTTATATACATTATATATGCTACGTATTATAAATTTAATAGAAAAATTGAATAGTTCAGATTGAGATTTATTTGTTCGAATAAAATCTCTTCATCTTCGAATTTCCCTCCAAAAATAAATCATAGCGGCCTCCCTCAGGTGGGGTCTTTACTAAAACTCCTCTGAGGTCTCTCCTCCATTTCTTGCCT